TGGAGAGAAAATGTTTTGAGAAACGATGTACAAATGCGCTTTACACAATTGGGGTGTGTATGGATTGCGATAACAGTTGTATGAGCCCCTAATAAAATGTTTGAAAAAAAAAAAGATTGCAACTTGAGGCTTGAATTTTTTTCTTGTGTTCTTTCTGCTTAAGATATGCTGAACATGTTTTTCCTTTTTGGTTTTCTACCTGTAGGTCTTTGAACATTTCATTGAAACATTTGACTTTGTCTCTTTAAGCTGCCTTTTGAAATTTTCTGTTTAGCTCTTTGACTTCATTTCTTCCATTTGTTTTAGCTACTCTACAATAAAAAGCAAGTCTCTTCTGACACCCACACTGATCTTTTCATTTCCGGCTTTTTAATGATCTTTTACTTTCTTCACAAACGATGTTCTTGATGTCAGTTCCACAGTTGGGGGCTCATTTTAGCTGCTGGTATAGCTGGAGCCCCAGTGGGGTAGTGATTACATATTTGACTGCTAACAGCAAGGTCAACAGTTCAGAATCACTAATTGCTCTGAGGGAGAAAGCCTTCTACTCTAGTAAATAGAGTTACAATCTCAGAAACCCACAGGGGTAGTTCTATGTCCTATAAGATTGCTATAGGTTGGAATGGACTGATCATAGTGAGTGAGGTATATATACGCTTCACACCATGTATGATTGTTTATTTGCTTATTTTTTGCTTATTTGCTCTACTACCTCAGATCAATCATTGAAATGTACATTCGAGAAATTTCTCTTCTGTCTCACAATAACATTTTAAGTACTTAATAAAGTAATAGATTTTATATATGTATCCTTTTGTTTCTAAGCTGCTGATGTTAAAATTCTCTATTGTCTCTTCTTACAGATTGTTTGATTTCTACGTGTTCCATGCGTAGAAGTTCATTTGTATATTTGCCACTTATATTGTTGAAAAAAAGGTGTTTGTGATGAAGTCATTGATCTTGCAAAATTTTATCACATGAACTCTAGTTTCATTTACATCACCAAGGCCTTATTTTCCAATTGCTGTTCCTTCCCCTTTGTTTCCAACTTTTCTTTTCAATCGCCAGTGATTATCAATGCATCTTCAGTGCATGTTTGGTCAATTTCCAATTAACTCATTTATAGAATTCAGTTTCTTCATCACTGACTTTGGTGGAGGAGTCCTGCTGGCTTAGTGGTTATGCATTGGGCTTTGATCTGCAAGGTTACTTCACTG